AGAAGTTTGCAGGTGCAAGTGATAAATAATAGAGATTCAAACAATATACAAACATACGATAGAATACAAAGAATAAAATATAATATAAATAAATACGTCAATGATTGTTGATAAGTTTAGTGACTGATGTTACACTTTTGATGGTAAATATGCACGTTTTCATAGAATTGAATGGAACAAGAAACTTTTAATTTTTGTTCACTATACAGATAGAACGATGTTCAGATACAAAATGCTTTTAATATAATGTTAGAAATGATTCTTGTTTACGTCTGAGTAATTAATTACTGATTTGCTACCTCAGTAAGCTATCCTGATTACAAATTGACTTGAGTCTAGCTATTTTAATTTGTTTTAAACTTCTATCGATTAGATTACTTTTAAAAAAATTAATATTAATTGGCTTAAAAATGGTAGAATACTTTCAGATACTTAATTTCATTAATATTACTAGTTTTTGTCATCCAAAAAAAAATGATTACGATTAAATTAAAATATTTTATCAAGATTTTTTTTAGACAATTTTTTGATCTTTGATTGAAAAATTCTTTATAACATTGAGAGTTTCAGATCAAAATCAGTCGGATGATTGGTTTTTTGTTGCAAAAAAAGATAATCTAAGCAAAAAAACTTTGCTTCGGCTATTAAAGTACATTAGAAAAGGTAATTATAATAAAAGAAATAAGAATATAATTCAATCGTTCATAAAATAATGCCAATAAAATATGTATGTAATTTTTTTACCAATTATTTTACTAATCTTATTATAATATCCATCTAATGAAAAAAAATCTTTTTCATATCGTTTCATTAAATCAAGAATTCGTCGAAACTTGTTCATATTGGTGCTAAGTTGTTCCAGCATAGCCGCGTTGAATACATAATCTTTCTTTAATTCATCAATCTCTTCATATAAATTTCGAATCGAGGTGACAATATTTTCATTAAGTTGACGGTGCCAACTCTCCAATACGAGTGTATGCGAGAGTAGAGAAGTCCGATATCCACATCCAACCTCTTCCGTAAGGTTTTGAAATGGCTCACAAAAAGCTATGTCGATGAAACTGATCTATTAAGGCCCTTATCACAATGCATCTCCCACTTAGAATGGTTTGTCTAGGCTAAAACTTTTAAGACTGAGTAGTTTCAGCCGGATACAGCAAACTAGACTGAACGTTCAGTTTATTTCTCGTCCATTCATGAATTCCAGAGGAATCCTTCTAATTTTGTCACTAAAACAGCTAGATAGCTCGGAGTAGTTTCAAATAAAAGCCAACACTTGTGCACAGTTTTTCATCAAACAGAATTTTTTATCATGATTTTAGTACAAACAGAGTAAGGATGAGCAAAAAATTTGTGACTTCAAGACATGAAACAAACAAAACTTTTGTTTATATCTTGAACCAATGTGGAAAATATTTCAATTTTCCTGACTGAAAACCATGTTTTGAGAAAAAGTTATGAATTAATCACAAAACTCTCTTGAAAAATATGATAGTAAGTTCGTTACATTTTTGTATGATAAAAAATCGAGTTTTCTGAGGACGGGTGCCATTAAGTAGAATTAGATGAAACAGGAAGATATTTCAAGGACAGACGATATTCTTCATACAATTAATTTTTTTTATCATCTCATCTACGGATAGACAACTGTTAATCTTCTTCATCACAAATTAACATTGAAGATTTTTTTTTTTTTTCTATTTCATGTTGCTTATCAAAGAACATGTTTGATAGAAGATTAATTGATTGATTATAAATCTTCTATGCAAAGTTCACTATCTTTTACACGTGTAATACATTTAATACACACACACATAGACACAGGTAGGTTGATCTTTTTAATGAATGACAGAAATCACAATATCTCATCTCACATATACATCAAAGTGTACAACAGCATATCTAATCAAGTTAAACATCAACATATACATGCAATTCTTTACTTCTTATTTCTATCATGCATATTGAATATGTCACATCCACACATACAGTGAAGTGGCAGCAAAAGTGAGCGGCGCGGCATCGGCTGTTGTTCATGTTCAATCAAACACCTCATCATGATGAGTGATACAGTAGCCTTATTGTTGTCAAGAATTGAATGACGTATGTCTCTTTGATATATATTCACATAAGTGAGAGAAAATTGTTAAATAGCATCTTCACTTGTTAATCGCACATGTATACATACATATACATATATAAATAAATTTATTTATATGCATCGAAGATCGTTAACTATTCTTATCTTATTCTTTTTCTTCTCGTTTTGTTTTTTGGTTTAATTGTTCGACAGATGGATGTCTAATATTGCTCAATCGAAAAAGAGAATATCACCTTCGTTTACATTCCATTTGTCATGTATTTCGAATTTGCTACGCTTGTCTTCATTTGAAAGAACGACTCAATTTGCATTTTGTAGCTATACGAATGATCTATCATGTATTTCTCTATATAAAGAACAACGTATGCTGGTGGGATGTCATTAGTAATGCGGATGTATTTCACACTCGGTCTATGCATTCATTGTGTTTGTATATGTGTGTGTTTTTTGCTCGTCTAGTTCATTAGACAACTTTTACTTTTAATCAAAAGCTCTCTCTCTCTCTCTTGCCGTTTTTCTCTCTCTCTACGAAGGAAAACGGAGAAGAAACAAAAAAAAAGAAATAAGCCTTCTCTCTTTCGTTAAAGAGAAACAGGAATAATAGAGTGACATTTGTGCGAGACTAGAATAAATGATGATAAAAGATATTTTTACCAATAAAATATATCTTGAAAAAAAAGAGAAATCAACAATGCATGACAATACATCATTTTAACATTCTTCAGATAAACGTGTATAGAAACAAAAAATAAAATAAAAGTAGGAAGAATTATGTTGACAGGTGTTTGATCACTTGAATGCACGTTTTTAACCTGTAAGTAAAGAATGAGACATACACCTACAGATCAATATCGAAGATTATTTTCTTTGAGATAAAACATAACTCCCTGGCATCTGCTCACACGAAAGAAGAGAATTAACTTTTTTTTTTATTATTATTTTGACGAATGATTTCATCACCATTGAGACACACGCACATATATAATATAATCAAATGAGTATCGATGTAATGGAAAATTTCAAATTGTCTGTAAACGATGATGACGCGATGACAAGGGCGGAGTAACAATAGAAAATAGCACCAACTTGAATGATTTGTACGAAAAAAAAAAAGCAAAAAATAAAAGGTGTGTAAAATGAGGGACACAGCTGAGCTATACAATGATCATTGCTTGTCGGATTATATATATATATACGTTCGTATTAAATCAATTTGTTTTCACTACAACATTAATATAACCAATTGATGGATGATCATCATTCACGGTTGAATTCATCTATCCAGCTGTTTAGATGTATACATATAGGTTTTTTTTTTTTCTATTTTTTTTTTCTAATGTATATGTAAAAACTTTTGCAGGTGTATACCTCTTCATCAACGATTCAATCAAATCCTTTTAGTAGAGAGAAAAATGTTTTCTGAGTGGCTTGGTTGGTTACCCTCGAGGCGAGTGTTTTTCTATAATTGGCTCAAGACGACTCTTTATCGAATGAGAGAGGAGAAAAAGTGGAGACTTTATCGTTTCCTGTGTTATAGCTGTTGTTATTATTACTACTAAGCCGATAGAAAAGAAGGAAACTGTAAAAGCTAGAACAAAGAAAAAAACGTTCTATAATGAATGTATTAATGATAAGAATATTTCCAGAAAAAAAAAAGAAAGTTTATTTTTATACCAATTTTAAAAAACAAAAAAAAAAAAAAAAAAGAAAAGAAGTGATTTAACTATTTTAACAACAAGTATAAGAAAAACAATCGTTGTCCTATATTTCGACAATGATTATTGGATATCTGCACAGATGTTTAAATTATATAGAAAGAATAAGAGTAAGAAGATGAGATACATCGCTCACTTGACACGTCGTCACATCTCAACTTCTCTCTTCTCACCTTAGTGATGATGTTCAAAAATGCGCGACCGTCGATCACATGTCAGACATTTCGTCAATCAATAACAAGTCTATTTTCGGGAGAGAGAAAAAAAAAGACACGTCGTCATCATCGTCTTTTTTACCTTCTATTTTTATCGAGCATGACAAAAGCATATTCAACGAATCATGCTCGATTGATAGACTATTTCAAATGCTTCTGCTACTCAGATATCCAAATGGCGTCATCGACTTTCTCTCTCTTGTTGATTTTGTTTTACAATACATAAATAAACATAGAGACATATTTGTGTACTTTTAAAATCTTCTATCAAAAGAAAGGCACGCGTTCAATATGTTGACACATTCATTACGTTGTCGTCATCGTCATCATCATTATCGTCTATCAAAATCATTAAGCTTTACAAATGCATAAAAGATGTTAAAAAAACATTGTCAACCTTGAGGCTATATATTTTTTTTAATTCGATATCTTTACGTCTATACATATATATACATGCAGATGCTGCTTCTTTAAGTCAAAGGAGAAAAAAAAGCAAGTGTTGCACGCATGCATACACTGATTTTTCATTCGTCTTAAGTTCATCGTTCTCTCGTTTCCTATTAGTCGCAATGTTCTTTTACTTAACAAAGACATTGGTTGAAATATCTTTTGCTCACTCTCTTTTCTCGCTCTTAAGAATACGACAACGGAATGGTTGATTTTCTTCTTCTTCTTTCTTTCAGACATTACTCTACCCACACAATCACACAACAACAAGAAAAAAAAAAGATCATTGAGACGAGTCCAGAATAAATTTACTGCTAAATGGTGAGTGTCTCTCGAGAGATGTGTGTGAATGTTAAAAACAGAGAGAAACAGCACGTAGTGATGCTGCTTCTAACTTAAGCAAAGTTCACAGAGATAAGAGAAGACAAAGATTTACTTTACAATAAACTTACTCATTTCTTCTTTTTTTTTTTTTTGCTTTTTTTTCTTTTATACATATAGTTGATTTAAAAAGAAAAGATGAATCCATCAACAAGTAATAATAACAATAATACTAATACAGTTTTTTCACCTTATCTACTTTCACGTTTTCATCAACATTTAAATCATCTTAATGATATGGCATTTACACATACAAAAATTTTACAAGAAATTATTGAAAAACGTTCAAATGAACCAATGACATCATCACCACGCGGAAGTATTAGTTCAACATCATCATCCGCATCATCATCAACAACAATTGGTTCAATACAACAACAACAACAACAACAACAACGTAAACGTTCATATCCATGTAATGATAATCATGAAATTAAAAATGATAATCATTTAAATAAACGTCCAAGAAAACAATCTAAACCACAACAACTTCTTAAAATTGATAATAAAAATCCAAATGAACAATCAACATCATCATCCGATAATGAAAATGATGATGAAGAAGAAATTGGTGAAATAAATGAATCAATTGAAAAACAAGTATCTATTTATTAATTATTAATTATTACTTATATCTTTAATTTTCATTTCAAAAATCTCCCTTCGTTTTCTTTTTTTTTTTTACTAGAATACTCTTCCAATTCCACCTCCACCAATATTACCATTTATACCAAATAATTTACCATTTCTTACATGTATGCAAGATTTAGCTCGTACAAATAATATTTCATCATCAATAACAATGGGAAAATTTCTTGAAAATTTTCAAAAAGAACTTCTATCATCAACATCTATGGAACCAAAACGAATATTACCATTACCTCCACCAATATTTTCTCAAACTGTACATCATCATCATCATCCATATTTTTCTCAAATACTTTTTAATAATTCATTTATAAATCATTTTCCATCACCAACACCATTAGCACGTTTTGGTCATTCACCATCAGATCATTCAACATTTCCATATCATATATCAACACCAAAAAAACGACGTACTAAAGTAAAAGAAGTTGTTTTTTACTTTTGTATTCGAATTTTTGATTTATTTTTTGTTTAGGTAACTGATACACGTTTATCACCTCGTATTGCATCAAAAATTCCTTCGGATGATTTAACTGATGATGAAAATAGTTCATCACATCATTCATCAGATGAAAATCCAACGAAATCTGAACAACAATCAATAGAATATAATGGATTTCAAATAAGTGATTTTCCTTTTTTTTTTTTGAGTAGAGAGAAGATTATTGGGCTAAAGAATAAATTAACCTATGAAATTAGACTCATTAAAGTCATTCAGTTTTGCTCTCTTGATGCGCACTCGTGCTTTATCACCCTATTTCCGTTTGAACCTTATAAGCGATAACATCTGCATTTCTTTTTCTTTTTTTTTTTCTTTTATTATACGTAGCAATATTAACATCACTTCATTTACGTAAAGCAAAATTAATGTTCTTTTATACGCGTTATCCAAGTTCATCAGTATTAAAAGTTTATTTTCCTGATGTACGTTTTAATAAATTAATAACAGCACAATTGGTTAAATGGTTTTCAAATTTTCGGTAAAAGAAAAAAAGTTATTTTTCTTTATTTTTCATTGTATTTTTTTTTTTTGATTTTAAATAGAGAATTTTTTTATCAACAAATTGAAAAATATGCTCGTCAATGTTTAGCTGAAGGTATTCGTTATGTTGACGATTTAATTGTAACACCTAATTCTGATCTTTATCGAATTCTTAATCTTCATTATAATCGTTCAAATCAAATCAATGTAACATAATTTATTTTTTTGTTCTTAGTTTCTTTTTTTTTAAATTTAATATTTTGTTCTTTTTTTTTTAAAGGTACCAATAAGTTTTAGTAATGCTGTTCAAGCAGCATTAAGAGAATTTTTTCTTGCTATACAACAACAAAAAGATCTTGAATCATCATGGAAAAAAAGTATTTATAAAGTAATGCAACGTTTGGATGATCAAATACCTGAATTTTTTAAAAATGATCATTGGATGCATTCCATGTGAACAGTAGAATTCTATTGACTCTTAATATTCAAATGTATCGTTTTTTTTTTTGTTCTGTTCAATCAAATAAAACTAGCACTCTCTCGTTTTTCTCTTCTTCTTCTTCTTCTTCTTCTTCTTTTTTTCTGCGCTAATTATTTCATTTGATCATGTTCTTGGATAAATGTTGAAATTTTTCATGACAACTAATTGTTTGTTAATGTATTTATCCTTTTAGCAAACTACACGTGCTTGTTGATGATATTGAATATGATCTAAATGTTCTCTGATGTAATTTAGTAAGCTATACCGAATACGAGTCATAGTCAGTTATTTGATATCATTGAAAAAGAATCAAGTTAGTATTGCAGGAAGTATGCAACGGAATAGAAAATCTTTGATCATATATTAAAAAGAAAGTCAATGTTGATTAAAAAAAATATTTGAATAAATTAACAGAGAAACATATACATAGAATTTCTACTAATGTAAAAACTCACACAAAATTTCAAGTAGATTTCCGCATTAATTAGTTGTAATGATAATCGATTATATCGCACATTATCTAGTATTTGTTCGATATCGATCTAGAATGGATTAAAGTTCTGTCCGTAATAGAAGACTTTCTCATTTGTAGAGGAACAAGGTGGATTTAGGAGAGAAGAGCAATCGACTCTTTCTTTTGAAATAGTTTTCGATTTTTCTCAGCAAATATGAACCGAAACGAGATCTAATCAACTACACATTATGATTGTGATCGTCTCTCCAATTTCCAAAATTCTAATCCACCATTGGTAGACTCTCTTAATTGATTGATTTCTTGTATAATGGGAACTTTAATTAATAGATATACATAAGAATATGTTTAGTTTTAAGTTGATAATCTTAAACGATTAAGATCAACGCTATTTCTGTTTTTTCTTTGTTGAAAAACGCTTTTAATTACTATTATTTAACACGGAAAACTCGGAGTCTCCTATATTGAAGTTGTTGAAGAGAAGTGTCAGTACAATATTTGAAAGAATAATTAAATGTTGATAATATAATAAAGAAAAGTATTGCTTCATTCTTTCAAGTAAATAAAAACTTTGTTTTCTGAATCGAACAAATAGGAATAGAAGAATTCAACACATATTATATGCATAGAATATTGTCTTAGATCGGGATTCAATAGCCTTTCAATTGATTTTTTTCTGGAAATATTTTTTAATCATTTGATTCAAGTAACAATAATCATAGGACGATGTATTCGTTATCATGCATGTTTCTAAAGGTTTTGACATCATTTGAGACATTCGATATTCTCCTTGACTTAACATGAAACAATACTATTTACTCATTTTTTTTATTTTGAGTAAGAATAAAATGTATTACATACATAGGAAAAAATCTTATGAAAAAAAAACAAGCAAACCTTGGAACAAGGAGATTGAACAGTTTTTAATGAACTCTGAATGAAATTATTGTTATAACTGATCAACTTTAATCTATTAATTTTTTATATTATATTCGTGATTTGTTCGCTTGACGACTCTCTGTGAAAATTTTCACATTTTTTTTGCCGCAAGATGTTATTCTTCGTACAGGTCAAGAATCATTCTACTGTAATATCTTATTCATTATGTTTTAATAAAACAGATTAAGAGTGTGTTTGCAACATAATTACATAATTTTGTTTGTTCTTGTAAGAAACGAATCTGGAAACAATAAAATTAAAAAAGTTTCTTTTTTTTTAAATTAATCATAAAACCAAATAGAAGAGTGTTTACTTGTAACTAAAACAATCATTAAACGATGTTGTAGAACAACACACTTCAATAAGGATATGGCAAAGAAAAAACAAAAGTAGCAGAATGGAAGAGAAATTTTCTACAATGTGGAGTAGCGTCGATTATATAAACAAAAAAGCTTTATTTTTTCCTTCTACACTATTTTAAAAGAATCTAAGCTTATTCATAGGGTTTCTTTAAACAAAAGGAGTGAAGTAGAAAACAAACAAAACTCCTTAGGTATCATTTGAAAATGAATCGCCAACATTTTATCATTACTTTCAACGTTTTTTGCGTATTAATACTTAACACATTAGCTTTAATTAATTTCATATTCCAATTTTTGTACGATAGTGATTACATATATTCTGATATATTGAATATAATAGCAGAACCGATCACTACCAGCACCGTCATTTCAACAAAACAATCAGCTTGAACTTAATTGGCTTATGTAATCATTTTAGATAATACAGATGATCAATCTACACATGATTTTACTATGAAATCTGAATTTATGAGTTATAATTATCAAACAAATTTATAAAGCTAGATCATTTATTTTTCTTCAACTGATATAAAAAAAATTGATAATGTAAATACGTAATTACAAGTACAGTCCTAGATAACAGTACCCATCTTCGCCATGAAGTGATTGATATAGATTGAAGTTCTCAGGTCAACAATATCATCAGATTGTCAGAATCATATCTTGGTTATATTTTGACCTTTATGTTCATACAACCTCTCATTTGAAAGCCCTATGATGTAGCTATCTATATTCAACAATGTAGGGTGAAGAAAAAAACCATCGAAAGAGTTCATTACAGCACAGCTTGTCAACCGGTAAAATCGCGTTATTATTCAATTAACGCTAAAAAATGAAAATAAATTGTAGAAGAACGAAACAGCAAACGAACATTTTCTTAGATCGTATGTTTCTCCGATTGTTCAACACGTCAATATCCATATATTTATGCATGCGAAACTCTCGAATACTAGTGGATTTGCACTCATTTTTCAAGGAGTGCTTGTTATTTGATGAAGCACTCTAAAGTACATACATATAGGGCTAATTCATTGAACAATAAATTCTATGAAATCAGAAAATAATTTTGAAGCCAAAGTCTTCGTAATCTAGAAAATACGTTATGCATAGATGCATTGTATGTGGCATATTAAAGACATTGAAGGAAAATACCATCTACGAAGATGTTCGTTTGCTGTTTCGTTCTTCTACAATTTATTTTCATTTGTTGAGCGCGCATTTCAGCCCATGATACTCAGTTTCTTTAACTCAAAGCTTATTGCATTATAATGAGATAGTACCGACTGATAAGCTTTGTCATAAAGAACTCTTCCAATGACTCTATCTTCGCCCTACATTGCGCTACAACTCTGAGAATATTACCACAAACTTGTAGGCTCATGAGAACTTATTGTTGAGCTTTCCAACTGAATTGATTTAGTTGATTTATTCCAGGATCGTTTCCAACCAAGTTTTGAATTTAGATAACTACATCATTGAGCTTACAAATGCGGAGTTGCATGAACACAAAGGCCAAAATATGGCCGAGATATGAGTTCAACAATCTGATAATATTGTTGACCTGATAACTCCGATCTATTTCAACCAGCTCAGGGTGGGTAGTGCTTGCGATTAGGGTTCACTTCTACCAATCTACATTCAGAATATGAACCCCATATCATAAGAAATGAGACCATTTCAGGATAGGGGCGAGTATTTTTTTCTAGGGCTATATTTTCTGATTTTTCGATTGAATATTCGAAATACATATCCTTTGTTGCTCTGGATTTTAGATAAATTTTGTAGTCGTTGTTGCAAGTAAACTAAACACTAAACATGTCTTCACGTCCACTGTCTCCAATGAGCTGATATTTTTGACAAGATTGTTATGCGCTATTGTAATAGTATCAATAAAAAACAACAGACTACCATCCGATTCTGTCATTTGGATAAATCAAACACCATAATGACAAAAGCTTTTGAACGTACTGATTATCTAAATTAAATATTATCATTTTAGTTCGAAATTCTTAAAAACCTATTTTTCATACTCTAAGTATGAGTAATATCAGACAAATGACGGTTACTCATAAACTTCGTAAAAAAATTCTCATAAAAGAAAAATATCTTACGTGATCAAATTCTCACTTAGCAGAAATAATAACAAAAACAATACAATTCCTAATAGCTATATTTTAATTAGTAGTGAATGTGTTAAAACAAGTAAATATTTCTCTTAGTGTTAAACTAAAATTTTTATTATTATACAACAAAAACACCAAATGACTACATATCTTGATCGATTTAAATTGATGTGGTTCTTCAAACAAAGTATGGAGATCTACTGTCCAACTCAGAATGTGTAAATTTTCATATTCTTCTATGAAGCACAAGAGAGAAATACATGACATAATAATGCAAAAGTTTTCCTTGGTTTACACCTATATTTTTCTGATTGTAGATAGAAATTTCATCAGTTTCTATTCCCATATTCTCATTCACTATTGTACATATAGAGCTGCAAGTTCGGATCCACAAAAACGTGGGCTCGCGCAGCTCCTAAGATTGCATATAACATATTCTTGCTTAATATCATTCACATGAATACAACTAAAAACTGTTCCACACAACTGATAGTAGCGGTTTTATTGTTGGCTTTACTAGTTTCAATGAAGAATTTCGTTGATCAATTAATTGTTCAAATTTCTTTTTGGTTCACATAACGCTCTTTTAATTCATTAACCATCGAGAGACAGAAAAGTGAGCAACAAGAAATAAATGCACAACAACTTTGTGTTGAAACAGGCTGGAAGAACAACGAAGAAACGATTTTATGCTTTTGCAACGTATCTCATCGAGCAAAAAATATTTTATTGATTGAAAAAATATTATTAATATCATATTGCCACAATTACAAAATCAAAACATTTAAAATTACATAAAAATATGACTATGAAAAAAAGTGCATCTGATATATAAAAATAAATAAATAAATAAATAAAATCACTATTATCTGATATTCGATTTATTAAAAATATTTCTATCTTACATCGGGTAATACTAATGAAATATTATTACTTGAACTTTTATTAAATGCAACTTTATCTACACGATCCCAAACAGTATTAATAACATATTTATGTTTAGCAATATTTGTCGAAACATAACGTTGTACATTAACCGAAAAATTCGATCTGAAACAAATGAAGTCAAATACATATATA